TTTTAGTGGACAACTTATTACCGCTTATTTATTTCCTCTTACTCAAATCAACACTGTTTTAAACAATTTAATGCTTAGCTTAAATATTTCTCACTTATTTAAGCTTACTTGGAGGAACCTCAGAATCATCACTAGATTTAAAAAAATCTCCTCTGGATCCTCATCCGATTCAACTTTTCTTGGAAGCCATTCAAACTTTTTAATCTATTCTTCCAATTAAGAAACTTCGTTAAAAACTGAGGCATTCTTCCACAGAATGGAGGAAAATCCCTAACAACACTTACCCTTTTAAGGCGTGTTACAACAGTCATGTCGGTTCCTTTTGGATCGATTTTAATCTCGACCTTCTTTTCAACATTTTTAAATTTCTTACCTTTTTCTGTAGTTCCAACATCTGAACATAGTCAAAATCATCTTACAATAGTAAAGAGTAACTTTACTCCTAATAAGCATCATCACAATATATATACAACTATAGTAACTTTTGACATCCTAGTGATATGTATACACTTTTTAACTCAAAACAACCTCGGTTTAGTCTTAGAATAGGCTAAACCTATAGCTCTGATACCAATAAATGTAACACCCATAACCCGTATAATTATACTTATACATATTATAGATGTCACTTGAAATTTCTAAAAACATTTTCAAGTTCTAGTGATTTAAAATTTCTTTTCTTAAAATAGTACACGATAATATAAAAATATCATATCACATTATACTATCACATACTATTTAAAACGATATAAATATGGATTTATATTATCCATATTAAAACAGAGTAAAATAGTTTAGTTTAACCATTACAAACCAGTTGCAAAATAATTTAACAGAGCAACTAGGACATTAATAATTACATGCCACTAACAAAGTCAAAATTCCATTATAGGATGTCTTACTGATATTGCAGTGTATTCCTAGATGCTCGGAGTGCCCTGTACTCTTTACTCTATCCTTGACGTTTTACCTACGCGTGAAAATCATCACACGCTAAGTATATACTTAGTAAGGTAATTAAAAACAATAAACAATGTAATACAACTCTTGTATAAATTTCAATGTCAAAATCAAAATGTCATAAAATCATGTTATCAGCATAACCAATATTTTACCATGATCAAAATAATATAACTGAATATAAAATTCCTTACCAATATACTTACCGTTTATTTCATAAGCTCGTAAGCTTATTTTACCAATATACTTACCATTATTCCATAAGCTCGTAAGCTTATTTTACCAATATACTTATCATTTATCCCATAAGCTCGTAAGCTTATTTTACCAATATACTTGTCATTTATCCCATAAGCTCGTAAGCTTATTTGCATGCTTACCATTTATTAACCAATAAACCATAAACCATAGACAATAGCCTAATATAAAACCCTAAGACCCTGGGTATTCGAGTAAAATACCTGCACCATAGTGCTAAACCTGCACTAAGCTTACGCCATAGTCCTAATCCGGATATGACACATAGGGTCGTGCCCACCACCTACACTAGGTTTACACACTAGTGCTAATCCGGACATGATACATAAGGTCGTATCTACATTTATGCACTTAGTGCCCTTATACATATAGTGCTATTATAAATCTGCAGCCGCTATACTCTATGGCATGCCAACTATACCCTGTCCCTCAATGACCCGAAATATATTATGAGTATATAGTCTATTTTATTCAATCCATTCTTGGCAAAATATATTATCAATATTTAACATTGGAAAGTTCATACCCGAAATAACATTCATGGTAAAATATCACATTATTCATGATCAATGCACTATAATTTCACACTATGACATATCAATGTCATATCGAAGTTATAAAAATGACATAATATCATGCTGATATAAACAAGGTCGACTTATCGCAAGTCTTCCTAATGATGTATAAAACATCTATGTACAATGTCATGCATGTATTACACTCACCTTGACACTTTATATATCCAAGATATGTGCCTCACTATGATCCATAATAAATCCTTTTTTATTTGACTTGCTTCAATCACAAATCAATCACAATCTGTATAAATCACAAATTCATAACGATATATATGTTAGTATTGTACTAACATAAACACATCTCATAACAACTCCATAATATACTTGAAACTCATTTTCTACCACATATTTAACACTTAATAATTCCTTTTCACCATTTTATCGCTTAGATTCTTAATACTAAAAATTCCAGCATTGAATTTATTATCATTCAAATGCTTTTACAAAAGCATAATTACATTTAAGTAACCCAACTATGTGAATGTTGTACTTAAATTGTCAATCTTTTCAAACTTCCAAAATAGTCATATTTCACATCTAAACACTCATTTAAATTCCAAAACATCATTTTCCAGTATATTACATCAACTATTAAACCATTATACAACCATTCACAACTTTTCCAAAATTATTGAATTGGCCCCCCAACTTTTAAAAATTACAAAATGGTCCCCGAATTTTTCTAAAGCTTGCAAATATTTCCTACATCATTTCCAGACCTTATATAATTTTTTCATAATTTTTCTCACTCAAATACATAATAACTGGATTCTTTATCCTTTATAACTATATTTTCATGATTTTGCTTGATTTTGATTTGATTCAATCATGAAATCAACTTTCAATCAACCTTTTAACATCTCTACAATCAAATCCCTAATCAACTCTCATCAGAACACAAAGTTCTCCAACTTATAATTTGGCTGAATTTTATAGAATTATTTCTAGGAAGATTGAACATGTTTTAACTATCAATTAAGCTTGAATATGAATCTACAACCTCAAAAACATTAAGATTCATCATCAATTTCATGATCCCTTATATGAACACAAACTGTAGAATTTGAGATATTTTATTTCCAGCAATATTAGAAATAAATATTGGTACCAAATGATAGCGTTTTTCGCGTAGATCACTTTCCTATTTCACGGCATAACTCGAATTCCAAAGGAATTGACTCAAAAATGGAAAACAAATATTTTTCCCTTACCTTGGTATAGCTCACGTCATGGAGATATGATAAACACTTTGGCATGAAATTTCATATATTTTTCATGCTTATCATCCTTTAATTAATCATTTAATGAATATTGAATTCATTAAATTGAGAAAATACCAATGTACCCTTAATGAAACTTCATAATTATCATAACACCTAGATACTTATCCTTATCATCATCCAAATCATGCCACCTGAACCTTATCCTTATCCATAAATCAAATATGAACAAATATTTTCATATTTTACCATTTTGCCCTTACAATTTCCAAAACTTACAATCCTACCACTTTAATCCAACCGTCTAAATTAAACATAAAATTAAATATTAAAATCCAAATATTTATATTATTTTCCAACATTTAAAATTGTAAAAATAATATATTTTCTTTTATTTTCGAAGCCAATGGTAACTTTTAAAATTACCATTTTGTCCCTAAACTTTTCCAAAGTTTATACTTTGATCACCAAACTTTAAAAATTTATATTTTGGTCCCTAACCAAATCCATTTATGGAATAACATTCTTTTTGGAAAAATTATCACTTAATTCCTTAAACTTTTCTCAATTTTCTACTTTGACCATCAAACTTTCAAAATTTTCATTTTGGTCATTATCTAAATTTTTGGGTATTATAAGAGACACAATGAACCCCTTTTTTAATGAAAAAAACAATAAGCCCCTTTGTTCATGGTTCCTATACTTTGATGTTGATACCTTAATTCATTAAATTATTTATATTTAATTTTTATTTATTTATTTTATTATTCTTCGAAAAATTTATTTCACGACCCATTTCAGTAATCAATGTTTTGAAATAAAACCACCAACTCTTTTCAAGTTTTTAATAATTATTGGGTTTAAATTGTGTAAGTTTTTGTTCCGAATCATCGACATTAATTTATTGATCAACTAATTTAGATTAATTATTATACAAATTTATTATAGATACGATATTTTTAATCTAAATTTTTCATTCACAACAATAGAATTTGAACCCTTTAACATTATTTAAAAGATTTAACATCTCATCTCACTAGACTAATTAGTAATTAGTTTTTCCACTCACAATTTTAATTATATAATTTTTACAAATTAAACTTGTTAAAATGGTTTAATTAATAGTAAAAAAGCTGTTGGGTGACAAAAAAACCGTGAAAATAGTTGTGTGGTTAAATATGTAATTTACCCTTGCTATTTCTAGCAGAGTTAGCGGTTTGCGCAAACGAGGTAATGATTTAAACTTCATTGAGCAAAACGTCCCGAAAAATACTATGACAGGCAACTCGATACAAATGGCAAACTTTAGGGGGGCAATGATGCATTTAAGCAAAAATGATTGTGGAAAATAATGTAATTAATATTTTATTTTAAATAATTTACTTTTAAAATTTTAACTAATTTATAATTACACATTGAGTCTTTTAAAAATTTAAATTTTTATAAATTAAATCAATATTGCTTATCGTTAGTAGTGTTCATCGTTGCTCGTCGAGCGTGACAAACTCATCCTTTAAAATATCATTTATTCAATTTATTATACATTCAAATAATTCACACACCTTAAAATTATTATTTTTATAAATTTTATTTTTTAAAATAATATAAAATCGATGTATAATTGAAATTTAATATAAAAGATAATTTTAGTAAAAAATGTGATGTGTTGAAAGAGTCTTCTATCATTTCGGTCACATATGTCAAAATACTATCAACTAAATATATTTTACCAAATTTTCGGTGAACTGAAAACACCTTGAATTATATAACAAAATAAATATTGTTAATATTATTTTTAAAAGTAATATTATTTAGATGATATTTTTATAATTGTATTTAAAATAAGCATTATCCTTGTAAATTTGCCCCTCTTATAGCGTAGTCCAACCAATAAACAATCATAGGAATCCAAAACGCATAATTGAACCCAACAAAGATTCCCCAGCAACAGTGGTCAAATGACAGCTCAATCCTTCTCCACACAAGTACACAACTACCTCCTATAAAATTGCTCCCCTATCAATTTATCATTGACCTTATCACCTCTTAGAGATCAACTGATTATCGACAATGGCATCCCTCTCTGCCCAAACTATTCTATGCATCGCCCTAGTGCTGACTACCTCTTTGATTATGGATGTTAATGCAACCTTAGAAGGAGGCCCACGGGAGTTCGATTACTTCGCTTTGGCTCTTCAATGGCCCGGTACCATCTGCCACAGGACACGCCATTGTTGCTCCTGCTGCCCCATCACTGAGGCAAATTCATTTATGAATTAATTTTTGAGTTTTTCCCCCTGCAGCAAGAATTCTCCCACCGAGTTCACTATTCGTAAGTGTCTTTTTTTTGTTGCTATGAACATAATTATTATGTTTGTATATTGAAGATATTAATTTGTGGTTTTAACGTTAATTGTTTCTAGAAAGTTCAAAAGTCTGCTTTAGATTGTTTTGCCAGAAATGATTGAAGTTTTGGAATTTTTTATTCTTAAATTATAGAGTTTCTGATTGAAGTTCACTGGAATATTACATAGAATTATCAATTTGCACAAAATAGAAAGTGTCGAAATGTTTCATCATGTAATTTAATACCGGTAAGGAAAAATAGCGGTAGCAGAGTTTAAAATTTTACAAATTTCACCTTATTTTCTTTTTCAATTTTTCAAAGTAATTATATTAGAAGAAGGGTTTTCATATAGCTTTTAGGTTTTAACTTTCAGATCTTGTATTTGTTCCTAATGTGCAAAAGGTACCCTTTTTTAGGATGTTAATCTATCAGGAACTAAGGGTGGGGAGTGGAAGAAAGAACTGTTCTAATTTTTTTTTTACTTTGATATGATTGGTAGATGGACTATGGCCGGATTATAATGATGGAACCTGGCCATCTTGTTGTGCTCGAGCTCGATTTGACGTCAAAGAGGTGTGCCGTTTATGCTATTTAATTGGTGCATCCAAAATGATATATATGCAGTAGAACTGTTGTATTTTATAGAATCTGCTCGTGTATAGAGATGCTTTAAAGCCTTCCCAGCAATTTTGCTTTATTAAATCTTTATATGCATGTTGGAGACCGGCAGGAAACTATAGTGAGCATGTGCTGCTGATATAAGTGATAACTTGCGATATTACATCTTGTTATAAGTATTCAGTTCAATACATTCTTCCTTTTTTTTTTAAGATACCTATAGTCTAGATGTCCCTTGAAATTATATAGCACATATCATATCTAGGCTTTTCTGAAACTTCAGAAGTTGGCTTGATTTCTAGAAAAATATTGAAGTTTATGATTTGTATTCTACCATTTCCCAACATATAGTTCTCATTTTTCATATAATTATATGGACATGATTTTCCATATAGTTATATAGATGTAAATATATTTCAGCTTGTTGTTCGGTGTATTTGATTCAGTCTATGTGCTGCATCATTTGGCCTTGCTTATTGACCTTTGTTGCTATATGCATGTAGATCTCACCACTGATGGATGCTCTTGAGAAGTATTGGCCATCCTTATATTGTAGCCGATCATCGACTTGCTTCAGTGGAAAAGGGATATTTTGGGCTCACGAGGTGGATATCACTTGCATGTCTCTATATATTGCTAAATCATTCTGTCCTCCATGATACAAAACTAATATCTTTTTTTCTTTTTGTTTCTATGGTGGCTGACATTTGGGATGCACACTGGTAGTGGGGTAAGTGTCTTCAGTTTTTGTTGCCTTATGATATGATTGACCTTTTCAGTTCATTTTATAGAAGTTTCTCTATTTGATTTGGGACGGAAGTGTGAGATATTCAAATAGGGATTATGAGATTATTTGCATCTTGTATATTGAACCATCCTTAAAATAGCTTCTGTTGGTACAGATTCTCAAGTTATGCAAACGGTAGTGCTTAATGGTTGCTCCTTACCCTATAAAATGCATGACACGTTATAGGCTGAAGCCTAGCAAACCATATGATGGAAAAGGATAGGATGCCAAACTAAACAAAGGAACGTAGTGCCTAGTAGTTGAATGCATTAGTGACCTATGTTGCATCTTTTTCCTTCCATTCAGCTATTGGGATTGGGACTGGTAATTGAATACGTGGATGAAGAGGAGGTTTAATAAAAAGGGTGAAAGCTGATTACCAAGTTCTACAATAAGATATGATGGATTCTCCATGTGATTTATGGCTTTGAGACTGGGTTTGGGATATTTTAGACGATAGGTGATATTTATGATACCTTCTGATATTTATGATATCTTCTGTCATATCACAATAATAATTCCTTAGTGGTATCATGTCTGGATATATGATCCCTAGAGGGGTACTGTGAGGTAATGTGTTAAAGGTTATTTTCAGGGTTACTAAAAACGCATCTTATATAGTTCGTTTGACATAAGAGTAGAATATGATAGTCCCTAAGCAAGTAATGATGATTGATTTATTTATATGTATCTTCCTGAGTCCCTGCATCAAATTTTGGTGGCAACCTTGCAAATGTGCTCTTCTTTAATATGGAATAGATTAGTTAATAGATTGATTAAGCCGTTCATACATCCAAGCATAAAATGGAGAAAAGTGTATGCGTGCTCTTTTATCTCTGTACTTACTTTTGGTGCTTATAAGTATTGTATTTTCACTTGCAGAGAAGCATGGGACTTGCTCCTCTCCTGTAATTCAAGATGAATACACCTTCTTTTTAACAGCTCTCAATGTTTACTTCAAATATAATGTCACGGTAACTTTTACAAAACCTTGTTTAATCTTATACACCCTAAATCAACCGTGTTTTTCGTTGTACCCTAAATATTCATCTACATGAGTTGCTAATTGCATGTAACACTTTATTTGGGTGAAAGTTTTATACTAAAAGCCAAATTGTAGTATCAATTACCTGTTTTTGGGGTTAATACATATTCCTATGAAGTAGCCCAAAGTATTTTTTTTTTTGATATAAGTAGGAGGTCTCATTAAAAAAACCCTTCATAATTGTCCCTTTCATGAAGGAAAGGAACAACTAGCGGAAGGAGGAAAAGAGTACCACATTTTATTGATATATCATAAGAACCACATTAATCATTTGTAATACATCAGAAAAAATTATCCTCTAAATACACACAAAACATCCTAGATGTATCCTGATAATCACCCAACCCGTTCTTTAGCTAGTTTATCAGCCTCGCAGTTACAACCCCCAGGAATCAATCTCACAATTAACGCCCTAGACCATACAAAAGACTCGATTTCCTTGACTAGATTGCTAAAATAGATAGGAGCAGAAGAAGACGACTGAATCCACTCCACAGCTGTTTTACAATCGCTTTCCACTATCAATCTACCCTTAGTTGACCAAACTGAGGAAAAGAAAATCTCAGTTCCTTTTCTGATTGCCTTCAATTCGGCTAATGGAGGAGGGCCAGGTCCGACACTTTCTGAAAACGATGCTAGAGTGAAGCCGTTAGAGTCTCTAAGTATACCCCCTATGCCTCCTGCCAACCCATCTTTTCTAACAGCTCCATCAACATTGAACTTGAAGAAATCAGAGGAGGAGGAAGCCATCTCTGCAAAGGCCTACACTGAACCTTTGAGCACGTGAGCCCGTCTGCTAGAGAGGGTTCACCAATCAACGAATCAACCGAGAAGGAAACATGATGGAACTTGGCTAAAAACCACTTAGCCAACTAAATCTGACGATGAAGAAGAGGGAAGACCTGTCTAGGTCCCTATTATCGAATACAATAGAGTTTTATGTTTCCAAATAGACCAAAGAACAACACCCGGAATAGCCCAAAGTATTAACTATTGTGAATTTGTGATTGCTACCCATACCCTTCATTTGATACTCTGCTTCAGTGCCTAGTGGTTACAGAGTAAAGTTGATTACGTCCTAAAGTCTAAAGAATAGATTACAGATTTCTTCCTTCGAAATCAGTCTGTTGCAGAGTAAAGTTGATTCTGTCATCTTTTGGTTATTGTTTGTAATAGATTTTATGTGGGAAACATATTCCAGATTACTTAATATTTGAAACAGTTTGTTGTTTTATCTCTTTATCAATTTGACTGATAGTTCACTTGTACAATCATTCGATGCCAGAAAATATTGAATGAAGCTGGATATGTTCCTTCTAATAGTGAAAGGTATCCCCTTGGAGGCGTTGTCTCTGCCATTGAGGATTCTTTCCGGGCAACACCAGAAGTGATTTGTTCAAAACATGACGTGGAGGAAATTCGTTTATGCTTCTATAAGGATTTCAAGGTTAGATTCAGTCAACTTTGGCTTTTAATCCCATGTAGTTCAAAGTCGACGTACTTGTACCGTTTACAGTCAACATTCTTTGCATAGATTGGACTTCTAGCTAGGAAAATATCATCTTTGCTAGTGGTTCCCAGAGCAATAACACTCATACATTAATCTCTGGAGTTTCCTTCTAAAAAACCTCACCTTTTATCCTACTTTTTGAGTAATTAATTGGATCGTCTGGACCTTTGCTATGGATTAGCAGAAACATCTAATATGATTTCTCGACTATATGGAAGAATCTTAATTGTACTACAGCATTTATGTATGTATATTAAACTTCTCTTTTTATCGTAGAACTGATGCATGTGTTGAAATTATTTATTTCTGCTACAGCCTCGGAATTGTTTGGCTTCAAAGACGTCATGTCCAAAGTATGTTAGCTTTCCAACATATGTGGCGTTGGGTAAGTTTCTACTGCTTCTTGAAGTTTGTCATTATGCCAATACTGCTAGAGGAAAACATAAAATTTCATGGGATTTTTTCCTTTTTGGGGAATGATATGAAAGTAAAATACTGTGTCAAGGCTTTTGGGTTCTAACCTGCCGTAACAGCCTTTCTAAAGTCTTGACATGTTATGTGTTCAATTTACATTCTAATCTTGACTTGACGTTCTTATAAAAGTACTAGTCTTATTTTAAACCCCCTCTCTTCTCTTTATCCTTCATTCATCGCCTTTCTCAACCTTGTAGAGCACGATGAATCTGATGCGGCTATCGAATTGATATCTGGTGAAGAAGCTCTCTAGGATCTGGACTGTAGTTTCAGAACCAATAATGTAACATATTTAAGTTATTCACTGGTTTGTACTCCATTTAACTCTTACACTTATTTCACTTGGTCAGAAAAAATGCTCTAATAAAATTGAACTCCCCCCTCTTTAGCTTCCTTCACCGGCCTTTTGTTTGCCTTGGAGGGCAAAATTTAAGGGATATCTAGTGATGAATCTCTGTGAGATCTGGACTGAAGTTTCTGTATCAACAATGTAACGTATTTCAACTAGATACTGGTTTGTACTTCGTTCCGCTCTTGGACTTGTTTGACATAATCTTCTGAAGAGATGTCTTCAATCAAAATATATTGATTTCCCAATGATGCTATATCTTGTATTGTCAGCAACTTTCATAAAATCATCTCGAACAATAAATTCTCAGGATTTCATTATTTCATTGTTTCCACCCGTTCTGTCAAACAAATTTTTGCAGGATTTAGTTAAACAGTTTCAAGAACAGATATTCAATACAAAGTTTTGGATCAGAAAGAGATTTCCTACATTTAGATATTCAATACAAAGTTTTGGATCAAAAAGAGAGATTTTCCTACATTTTTGCCGTGCGTAAACATGCACCGGCATGGTAAAAGGTCGTTCAACCTCAAGCACCGGATCAAATTGAGAAAACTTAAGTGCTCGAATGGGGTTCTTCTATTTCTTGGCTATTGAAACTTGCAAGCTCATTGACCTTTTGTATCTTGTAGCTTGGCAAGCAAGGTCATTAAACTTTTTGAAATGATGGGTATCTGCAATCAGCAAAAGCCTAACATGTTTAAGTAATCAAGTTCTAAATGATACACGAGAAAACGGCAATAACTAAACTGTACCGTGTTACCCCAAAAAAGAAATAAAATAAAATACGTAGTCATTAATACTGTGTCTGTACAAATAATTTATCAGTTGTGTACAAAACTGCAACCATCTGCCTAAGATATTCGTCTTCAAATAACAAATCTCGCAAACCATCTGGTAATATTGTACACAAGAAGTTCAGGGATGACCATCAATACTGAAATCTGCCCTGCTCCCCTTCTAGTGCCCTGATCAAGAGCATGGTAAGGCCCATGTGGAAAATTTGAGGGAGTTGCAATGGGAGCTGATGCACTACCACATGCTTCCAAGGAGTCCATCTGATTTTGAAGTTAAAAGTCCAAGCAAAGAAGGGATGTGTGTCCAATGAAAAAAATGGTGGGACCAATCGTAGGCTACCCCCTGTTAAAAAATGAGCATGTATGATTTTAAGACAGTACTCCATAACTAAGCAAAGAGGGGATGTGATCCCTTACCAAGCATTAGCCACGATACTCCATTTTGAAACAAGCTGCTTCATCCATGTAGACAAGCAGTAGTTTGAAAGGTGCTCTGGTAGATCTACCTACAACCATCACAACAATATATGATCAGAAAACTACAGGATGGGACAACGATGTTCAATTACAAGAAATTAAGCAAAAAACGGGAGCAAGAAAATGACAGCTTGAATTTAGTGCCGGAGCTGTATACTAAATGTTCTACTTCCCACTCCCTTCTTTTTTTCCTTGTTATTCACTTTGAGATCATCCAGTAGGAAAGATAAGAGCTCTTTAGGTAGCACTTTTGGTCTAAGCATTATACATCTAAGAAAAATGCCATATGTTCGAAAGATTTATGAGGATATCTTGGCAATGTCATGAACATTACTCACCACATGAAAGTAGAGCATGAATGATTTCCAAAGCAAAAGTTGCAAGGACTTTTTACCACAATGAAAAGTGTAAAAACAGATATAGATGATAAGGGCAAGAAACTCACATTAGTCCATGATGCAGAAAAATCATCAGTTGATAGCAACCAGCTTCCGCCACCAGATTGCAACCCCAACCTGCTATCTGAAGCATCAAAATCGAGCAGCACATTGTCATAACTGCCATCATGATCAAAGTCCCTTCTCTTCTTTCTTCTTTTCCTTTTCTTCCTACGCCTATTTGATGCTTGATTATCTGCTTCCGAGTCACTTTCATCTAAAGAGCCTTCATGATGAAGCATAGAGTATTTATCAGATGTTCGAAAACGTATTCCATTAGTCACAAATAAAGCTTCCCAGGATCCTGGTGTCTGGCATTCCTTTGACAATCTGTAATAGATAACCCAAGAATAAAGCCCCAATAATTTTATTGCTTCTTCGGGTTTTACTTTGGTGCACTCTTTAAGGATCAAAGCCAAAGTATGGGCATTAGTGGAGGTTTTGGCCATTTGTGATACAATATCTTTGACTTGCTCATTTTCATCCTGACATTCTTCATCATTTACAAGCCGAAGAAGCTGTCTCTTCTGATTGATGATAGCACTTAATAGAAGAAGCATATCAAAGGATTCCGGATCACCACACTTACAAAGTATAAACTCCAGGACATAAAATGGATTACCAAAATCCTTATGTTCTATCCTTGGATTGATATATCTAAGAAGCAATTCCAGAAAGATGCGGACTTCACTCTCTTCAAGAGAGATAAGAAGGTGATGACACAACGATGAAAATGGTTCCTCCTTCAGAAATTCGCTTATTACATCCCATATATCGTTTAAATCCTCTTTATACATCAAATCAACAAAAAGTTCCACAAAAAACCATGTATCCATGAATAGAATCTCACCATCTTTTAGTGATTCAGCAAACTCAATGGATGACCAAAAATCAGGCACATTTTCAAGGAAATTTTCAACTGTTCGTTGGACATCTAAGTCGAGAAAGTAATGAGGTTTTGTCGCAACCATTGCAGGTGATTGGCCATGTTTTCCCTTCCACTCAAGCTCCTCCCAACAGATATCCCGATTTACAAAAGCAAATTGAGACAATGCCTTTGCACCTTTTTTGTGTTCCAACCCACCGCCATCTCCAAAATTAGAGAACCATTGCATGATTCGCTTAGGGTTCCCTGCATTATTCACCCATTATTAGAATTATCAGAAAACCATAAAAGTCCACACTAATTTCAACCTCTACATATATAATGATAATATTTTAAGGTTCAAGAATAAGCTAAAATATAAATGGTGCTTAGAGAACGAGGCTCATCCTACCAACTAGTTTGCATGCTCATCAATTTCACAAAGGGCAAGAGTGCAACTAGATCCTATAAAACATAATAATCAAACCACGATATAGAACCAACAATAGCTCAAGGTCCTTCAACAATATAATAAAGAACTATGTTAGAGCTAGCAACTAGTCTCCATGCTACAAAATTCAATTTCACAAAGGGAAAAGATTGCAACAAAATCCCACAAAACATACTAATCAAACTGCAAAATATAACCAAAATGGAAAACCATTAAATTCACAGTAATCTCAACCTTTATCCGGAATCCTTTATCATAAAATATAAGATCAGCAAAGCTTTAAGGTTCTTGAACAAGCTAATAAAGAACTAAGTTGGAGCTGCCAACTAGTTTCATATTACAAAGGAAAAAAAATCAATTCCGCAAAGGACAAAGAGTGCAACATAGTCCCACAAAACATATGAATCAAACAGCGAAATATGATCAACTTGCAAAAATCATAAAATCACAGTAATCCCAAGTTTCCAATCTCTAAAATTCCAAATTTTTGACAAAAAATGAATAAACAGCACTTGAACTAATCTAAAACATTGAGCTGACGGAAGTTGGCACAGGAAGAAAATTCACCTTAAAAGAAAAGAAAAACAGTGCAGAGAAAAACAAAATCAAAGAAACTACCGAAACCTAAAGAAAGAACAGAAAAGGAAACTACTTGCCTTGGAAAAACTTCTCAAGCAAGTAACTTTTCTTGGCCAATATAGAGCCAGTTTTCCTTGGCCTCTTCTCAAAAACCAATTGCAAGAGTTGAGATGCAAAACCCTTCTTTGTTGGCTTTGATGTCAACATCTTCATAAAGATATCTCTCTTATGGTGAGGAGAGATTGAAGTTATGCTCGAAACGGCATTGCAAAGCCATAGCCGAGCCTCAGAACGACCTCCAGAGACCATCAGTGACCAAATAACTGAACCCAGTTTACTTAAAAGCGCTATTATCTGATGGCTAGCTTCATTATGTCCTTTGTCATCCAAGTTTGTCTCAGATAAAAATAAAGGAACCATTTTCTTTTCCCCGTAAACTCCATGCATTGAAAACAATTAACCCAAATCAGCAAAAGGATTGAAAGAGAATTGGATAAATATGCCGATTTTTTTAAACTTATAATGGCACTATTAAGAATCAAAATAAGAAATAGCTTCGAAATCATTGTATACAATAAATTGCAACAGAACCCACGAATTCAAACGGTATTCTTATCATAACCCAATCAAAAAAAATGAAGGAAAAAAACTGACCTTTATCAAAATTTTCAATAACCGGACCTGAAAATTTCGCTTTTGCTTATCGTCTCCAAGAAATAGCGCTTCGGGGTTAAACCAAAAAAAAAACCGAAGCAAAGAAAACAGAGTAGGTTTACCCCAAACGAAAGGTAAAAATACAGTTTGGGATTTAGTTGTTGACACAACAATATTGCTTTTGGAGTATTTTATACAAACGGAACGAGTGAAGGGCCAAAACAAAGCCCTAAAGCGGCAAAAGCATAAATATTATTTACGATAAACTACCTAAATGGTCACTGAAATATAAATAAATTTCTTTTTCCTCTGAAGTTTTAAAAATAGCAAAACTATCATTAATATTACAGAAAATAACAAAACGATCATTCAATCGTTAAGCTTTGTCAGGTGACTAACGTTAGTCTGACATAAATGATATGATATTTTTAATGAATTAATTTTCACTAATAAAATAATGACACTTGACATCATCTTATTAATACAAAAAAGTTTGAAAATATGAAAACTCTCGGATCATGTCTTCTTAGACTATTCTGGATGTACAATTCAATTTAGGTGGTAATATTCCATTTCAGTTAGAAAATACAGTCAAATGTTTGGGGTAGTATAAGTGATCAAGGGGTGGTAACTCATATCACAGGTAGTAATATTCCATTTCAATTAGAAAATACAGTCAGATGTTTGGGGTAGTATAAGTGATCAAGGGGTGGTAACTCATATCACAGGAGGAAATTTTGCACAGAGCTCTATTACTATTAACGGGCGGCTCTGCGATTTCTTATGGGCACAAGCATCCCAGGTAATTCAGTCTTATGGTTCTTCATTATATGCATACAAAGAGTGAAAATTAAACTTGAGACATCTTAAAAGAAGTTTCAATAGTGAATCATTGAGTCAGAGTAAAGAACTTGATATGTCACAAAACAGAATATTTAAGTTAAATTATTTTGGCAATAGTTAGAGCGGTATCAATGGTTAAAAGGAATATTATTATCTATTGATGATTCGAATTTGAGTAACGTAGTTTACATGTGTGCGTAAATTTAGATTTAATTCTTAAAAAGAGGTTAAGCTATTATGAAAAATGTTTGAAAATAATAATATAAACTTGAGATTCAATCTAAAACCTCTTTAAATAAGATTCAGTGTTCAACAACTAAGATAAACTAAAATTTTGATACTTATTTTCTTAATAGTTGAATGATTGTTTTATTATCTTTCATGATATTAATAACCGTTTTGTTATTTTTAAAATTTCAGTAGAAAACAATAACCATTTATGTAATTTAGCCTATTATTTATTTATTTTTATATAGAAAAATTAACTCGCAATTACACGAGTGAGCTGGTAGCCCGTTTGCTTCCCCGTTACAAAAGAAAGGCTTCCCTTTCGTTTCAACTCCATTATCAAATAGGAGATTTCAGGTAATCTACTGGCTTTGATCTTAACAATATTTCCTTTTTCGCCTTTTCTTTTATTTGGGTTCTTTTTTTATGAACTACTTCCATTATTTGCTTATTTCGATTATGTTGCAGTTCTTTGGCTGATCATAATTCTTATTTCAGATAATCTGAATTTGTTTCTCCATTCCTTTGTTAATGGATTGTCAAATATGACTTTACTTTACGCTTCCTTTTTGTTTTTTTTTGTTTTTAATTTATTTTACACATGAAGCTGTTTTCATTTGTAAACCACTAATAGCAGTTTGTTGATCAGGGTTTACATACCAGCTGCATAATTGTTATCTGCTCATTTCCCCATTTGAGTTCATGTTTATGTTGTTTTATCACATTCCTATCAATACTAAAAGGCTGATGATGTAATCAAAATTTGATTCCGGTTTCCCCTTTGATATTGACGAATCAGGTTATCTAATATTGTATCTCTCTCTCACCACTGTTTATGGGCCACTCTGGTTTCTTGAATTTGTTGTTCGCTGTTGGTGTGTGGTGTACCGCATATATTACTGTCGCAATTGTTGCATCCTTGCGGATTGTAAATTCCATCTGTTCATTCTGAGTTAGCGAAACGGCTTGACTAGCTTGAAAAGCTGTTATGGCATATGCACAACTCGTTATCGGCCCTACAGGCAGTGGAAAGGTGAGTTAGTGTATCAAGTATAAACTATTCTATTCAATGGTTTGAACTGGGGGTTATCTTCCCAATATTTTCTGGTTTCTTTATTATAAGGAAAAGAAAAAAAAAATAAGAAATATCATTGCTGTGTTTGGTCTGCTTAGGTAGTGGATTTTCTTTTTCATCACAATGTATACTAAAGCGATTATTCGTGTTTTTGGAGTTAGTCAACCTACTGCTCTAGCCTGTACCAGCATTGTGAAACCCTTGGACGGTCAATACATATTGTGAACCTTAATCCTGCTGCAGAAAATTTTGACTATCCAGTAGCCATGGGTGATTAACCTTCTTATCTCATTGCTATTGTATCTTTTTTTTTTAATCTGATTTTGTTGCCATTGAGTTTTTCTATTGGCAGATATAAGAGAGCTCATTAGCTTGGACGATGTCATGGAGGAGCTTGGATTGGGTCCAAATGGTGGTCTTATCTACTGCATGGAGTATCCTTCCCGTTTTATCTTATCTTGTTGTATAAAGGGAAATTTACCTTTTGCTGTTATGTGACCGTTGTTAACTGAAAATCTTCACTGCTATTATTATGGTTACCCGAATGCTGTTATGTTGATGTATCAGTTTGGGTTGTTGCTCCTGATCGGAGTGTTTAAATGTTGTATCATGTTCGGTTGTTGCTTCTGACTGAGTTGTTTAAATACACTGAATATTTGTGGAGTTTTTTGCTGACTAATTGATTCCATTGCCAATGTTCTCAGCTTTCGATTTTATCATATGAAGAGTTGCATGTTGTTCCTAAAATTAGATTTTCGGAGCAAATCATAAGCATTTTTCTTTGGCCACAATATTGTAAACCTTTTTGTTATTCAAACTTGGGTAAAAAACTCGGTGATCATATGCTAAAACTTCAACAAACCTTGACCCTTTGAGCAGCAGATGCCATTATCTTGATTGCTGTTGTTGTGCTTCCAGTAAATGAAATCTGTTGGCAACCAACTAGTAGCAATTACTTTTGAAATCTTATTTTGCCAAACATCTTATGAATTTCAATTTCATAGAAAGGATCACTGAAGAAAATGATTAAAATCAATTTAACCTTGTCAACATGGGGATGAGATGCCAAAGGTGCACCAGCATCAGGACCTAATCTAGGCAGAATGTTGAGAACACCGGCAGGAATAGTAAAAAGTATGAGAGATAATAAAAGAGAGAGAGAGAGAGAAAATTTGAAAGGTCCATTGTCCACTGGTGAGAATGGACGGTTTTTGTGGACAATTGAGTAAGAAGGTGTCTAGGATAGTGGTCAAGGAAATTTTCCAAAATCATGGTCATGTGCTACGGATTTATATTCCGATCGAAACCAATAAACCTAGGTATAGGAACCATACGTTTGCCTTTGTTCAGTTCGAGAAAGAGGAGGGGTTAAAGAAAGCGATTGAGAAAGTAAATAATGTGTGGATTGATGGGAAGAGAGTCTATGTTGGAGTTGCAAAATACAAGAGAAAGAAGGATATGTTAGTATATGGTATTTTGCCACAGAGGGATAACGAGAAATCAAATATGGGTGAGGATGTTAGGAATAGAGAAGAAACAATATCTCTTAACAGATTGAGGGATGAAAGATCTTATAAGGATGTTCTGGTAGTGAATGAAAGAAGAAGAAATGTATGGGATATGCATATCCCATCGGGGGATCGGATTGGGTTAAATGTTCTTTAACAGGTATTGTCAAACCCTTATTTCATTTGGGTCTAGTTCAAAAGGGTTTGGAGAGTGATGGGATAAAAGTGAAGGTTGTCAGATGGGGATACGCATGGAAATCATGCATTGTCACTTTTGGTTCGACAAAAGAACTTGAAGAAACTTGGGCGAAGAAAAAGGAGGTATTAATGTTCTGGTTGGAACCTCTAGTGAATGAAGGAGGTATTCTAATGGAATTCTGCTCGGTCGAATTATATGGCATTCCACTGATATGTTGGAAGACTTCGTTCTTGGAGAAGCTTGTTGGGTGATGGGGAAAACTGATGTGTATTCAGGATTGTACTTCGAACATGATGGATTTGTCAGTGGCTAGGGTGCTGTTGAGGGTGGAAAGTCCATTCGATGTGCCGGATTGGGTAATTATTGGTGCATATGGGAGATCATACAGAGTTACTATAAAAAGAGGGTTATCTTTTAAGCATTTGGATGTGGAGTCGGAATTAAGTTCAGAGGCGGGATCGGAGTATAAGTCTGGTGATGTTGCAGCGATGGAGGAGGAGGAAAAAGGTAAAGTGGGGTTGGTTGAAGGAGGTGATATGTCAGATAAGGATAAACATTTATATATTGACATGTGGCTAGGTGGGACAGGGGAAACTGGAATTAATTGCGGTTGTGGGAGTTTGATGTTAACGAAAGAATTGATGGGGAACATAATCAGAGATGTGGGCCATATTTTTTTAACTTAAGGAGGATATCAGACAAATTGAATTTGAGTTAAATCCTAATGGGGGTTATGCGAGTCTTGGGCTGCGAGAGGATGTGGACCAGATTAAATTAACCCAATCAGATTCAAATTGGGAATCATAATCCCTAGTCACAAGAATCATACCTCCTGGGTCTGCTGTTAACTTCAAGTGGAATGAGCAACCAAATCAGAATAAGCTGCGGTTATGTTCTGAATCAAATGAGGATAAAAGATGCAACAAAATAGAGGAGAAAAATAAGGGAGACCATGAACCCGAAATTGAAGTTCTTGATAAGGATTTAGAAATAAAATGGCAGCAGGAGGAAAATACTGAAGTCAAGGTGAAGAGTCCTAAGCGTTGGAAAATGGTGTATCATGTATCTACAAGTTTGTCAATTAGAAGTGCACCTGATGGGAGGAGGGAAGATGGACGCTATTCTAGAGTGTACAGACGGTCAAGAGAGAGACGAATCTGGTTATGTTCGGGCAATGAGGAGGAAAAAAATTGTTCAGAGGTTACTCCAAATAAAGAACAGAATATTAAAGATTTCATCAATTTTCGGCAACTTTATTCAAAATATAGGGGAAGTGGATAGGAAAAGGACAAC